CATTCGTCTCCTCTTTTAATCGAAGAGCGCCCTTCTGGCTCCTCTTTTCCATGAATCAGCAGACTACGACTCCGCGATAGCGGGGATGAAGACGGCCGTCCACGTCATCCCAGATACCTGCTGCACGGGGTCAGAGGTGACACGACCGAGGAGAGGGCCGACGCTGTCATAAATATAAAATTCACGTTCTCACCACTCGCCATTGTTTGCTAAGAGTTACCATCCAGCTCAGGGTATTTGAATGTGTAATGCTCTCACGGATAATAGAATACGGCATGTTTCATTCGAAAGTCACGCTGACCGCGAAGGAGCGTTACAAAATATGCCATATAGCGCCATGAAGAGATATTGAACATAATGGCCAGCTATATGGGATATTTATTGTGGACAGGTCAAAGCGAATAATGCCAAACTCGCCACGTGGAATGTTAGCTGAGTTTCGATGTCGGTGTTCCATCAAAGCTTAGACCCTTTAATTATGTATGTACTCTCGCGCGACCAGGTTTGAAAGCGATCATATATTCATGACTTGAAATTGCGAGAATTTGGCTGTATAAGTCCTGGTTATTTTGTCGCTTGGGTAGAAATAGGCCATAATATAGAGTACTAAACATACGCTCAGCCCCACTACAGGATTCGCTTCAGATTTCTGCAAGTCACTCAATCTGTTGACAACACGTGGGTGGGATGACTGAGTCAGAACTACCAACAACAGTAACAACACTCACTACCGTGGCAAGCACCAGCAACATCGTCAGCGTCAACATGAACAGCACCAACGACATGGACAGCGTCAACACGAGCAACACCAACAACGTGGTCAGCGTCAACACGAGCAGGAACTAAAAACATGGTCAGGTTCAACATGAACAACACAAACGACATCGTCCGCGTTAACATGTATAACACCAACAACAGTTACAACACTCACTAACGTGGCAAACACCAACAACATGGTCAGGTTTAACATGAACAACACCAACGACATCGTCCGCGTTAACATGTATAACACCAACAACAGTTACAACACTCACTAACGTGGCAAACACCAACAACATGGTAAGTGTCAACGTGAACAGCACCAACGACATGGTCAGCGTCAAGATGGACAGCAACGACATTGGCAGCGTCAACACGAGCAACGCCAACAACGTGGTCAGCGTCAACACGAGCAGACACGAAAAACATGGTAAGGTTCAACATGAACAACACCAACGACATCGTCCGCGTTAACATGAACAGCACCAACGACATGGTCAGCGTCAACATGGACAGCAACGACATGGACACCGTCAACACGAGCAACGCCAACAACGTGGTCAGCGTCAACACGAGCAGACACGAAAAACATGGTCAGGTTCAACATGAACAACAGTTACAACACTTACTAACGTGGCAAACACCTACAACATGGTCAGCGTCAACATGAACAACACCAACGACATGGACAGCGTCAACATGAACAACAGCAACAACAATAACAACACTCACTGACGTGGCAAACACCAACAACATGACAAGCATCACCAAGAAAGCAAACAATACCAAACAACATCGCTACCAATACCAACAACGATACCAACTCACCAACAACATGACAAGCATCACTAACAATACTACAAGTGTCAAAAACATTACCAACATCACAAACAAAATGGTCGGCATCACCAATGAACAACAATTACACAATCATCATAAAGAGATCCAACAACAACAACAAAACACACACAACACCAAGAACATGAAGAACAACACGACAATGACGAACAATACCCAAACCTTCATCATCTGACCAAAGCCCCAAGCCCTGTTGAGGTCTATAATTGCTACAACAGTAGCCATATCTCAATTCAAGATGAATAATTCATTATTTGGGTGATTAGATGGGGCCTGAGTTGGAAACATGTATAACGATAGCAGTGTTTGTGGATCTTCAATCAACCATCAGGGCCCACTTGCACAAAGCGATCTTAGCGCTACGACTATTGTAAGCCTATGTGAAAGTATGGGAGTTACGATCATCTTAGCGCTAAGATCGCTTTGTGCAGGTGGGCCCAGGTCTAGTATGCTTGCACAAAGAGTGAGTGAGTCAGTATGGTTTTACGCCGCTTTTAGCAATATTCCAGCAACATTACCGCGCGGGACACCAGAAATGGGCTTCACTCATTGTACCCATGTCGGGAATCGAACCCGGGTCTTCGGCGTGACGAGCGCTTGCACAAAGAGACCTTAGTGTTACAAGCCAATGTAGAAGTGTAGAGTTACGATCATGTCAACGCTAACATTGGCCCTGGTTTAATGGTAGAGAGTGAGTGAGCTTGATTTAACGCTGCTTTGAACAGTATTTCAGCTACAAACACCATGTGTCAGTTTCATGTGGGAGGTAGGTTTACAAATGGTGAAACCCACGAGCACGGGTTTAATGTTGACAAACTAAAAAACAATCAGGGTGAATCTGGAATTTTTCGAAACCAGGATCCTAGGTTCGTGGCACGCTTAAGGGACGCAACTCTGCACACAACTCGACTGAGTGGGCCACCCGTGCCGCCTTAATGGTAAACGTATTTGCATAACAGTCTCTGTTTGCCTGTCCATCTGTATGTCATGGTGTGACGTTAGTTCAGGGCGTGACATCAATTCGACACACTGCTGCTCTACGAGAATCATGACACAAGGTGTCACGGCGCACAAATCTCTGACGTCACATTCCAAACGTGACAGTACATTATGGACATTCTGTCTGCAACGTGTAAAGTTCACAGTAGCATATCAGCTCAAGCAGCTAACCTTCAACAACTACTTTTGTATCGTAAACAATGTTGATTGGATGTGAAGCCGTGATGTCCTGGCTAGACCAAGCGTTAAGGTCGCGCATTGTTCCAGGTAGTTTAATCCTCAGTTATACAACCTTACGTGACACTCTGGGGATAGGTCTTGGAGGAATGTGCACGTTGTGACGTCACGAGTTTTTGTGTACTTTGTCATGGCGGGAAAATATACGATTTGTTGTCAAACCCCTTATTCGGTTGGTTGGTTTGTTGTTGAACGCCGCACTCGGCAAGATTCCAGCTATATGACGGCGGTCTGTAAATAATCCAGTCCTGAACGTGGCAACTACAAATAAATGTTCTCGCAAACACTGATGTCGCGCATTCGTACGAAGACGATCACGGAAGCTCTCTGGAGACATAGCAAACACGAACAGGAGTTTTTCTTCCGCAGAAATCAACCATCGTTTAGCTGTACGACTGCGGCCTGTAACTAATTGGCTCTAAGCCAGGTCAACCAGTGGTTGACAGCATGAACAACGGTCAACGAAATCGGAGTACGAAAACACACCAGCCAGGTCACACACCGCAGCAACATGATCCCAGAGTCTAACAGATCTTACAAGTAGCACCCGGTGATGAAGCATGTGTTGATTAACTGCTCAAACTGTTCAATTCTGGAAAACTCCTCCGCTGACACATAAACTGGATAGTCGATCGGGCAAATGAAGAATACACTTGAAAATTGGATTTGAACAATAAATAACAAATATTTCTAGGCTGAAACAGCTACGGAAGCACTTCAATTTTAAGGTCCAAAACACAACTATGATACCCGTATCAGATACATCACCATCGAAAAAACATTTCTTGTTTGCTCCATTTTGAGCCTACGGCCTAACTACGGCCTTGTATCCTTTCCTTTGCCAGGAAGTTTACAAAATGAGCACGCTCTTGAAATAAACCTTTAAAAAAACATGAGCAGATCATATTTCTTAGAGTCATGCTTACGTGTGTCAGTGACGAGGCGAACAGGTTTAGTCAGAAGGGGTAAACAATTTATGATACATCCATATCACCACCACCATCATCATCATCATCCTCATCTTCAGAATGCTAGACAGACGAGTCACTCAAGCAATAGTCATCAAGCCCTGACTGCTAGAGCTATGTACCATTGTCGGTACTGGTTAAGGCATCCGAGTGTTATACAGCACCAATGTACAAACAAAGCTGTGCGAGTCCGGTCGTCCTCGTAATGTCACGCTTATTCAAGATGTTTCTACTCGACGGACCTCTGCACCACATTGTTAACCGATCACATGCAGACCTCAAACACATCAGCTACTCACAGTATCTCCTTAAGTCAATGCGGGTCGTACAAATTGCAAGATTGGTTACCCACGGATGTAGGTGATGAATCTCATACGAGCGCTTAAATTGACTGTATCGACCCCTTAGTCTGTCATACAGTGAGTGAGTGAGTGAGTGAGTATGGTTTTACGGCGCTTTTAGCAATATTCCAGCAATGTCACGGCGGGGGACACCAGAAATGGGCTTCACACATTGTACCTATGTCGGGAATCGAACCCGGGTCTTCGGCGTGACGAGCCAACGCTTTAACCACTAGGCTACCCGACCGCCCCCTGTCATACAGACCCTGACACAAATATATCCAATACAGCCCATGCAAGTCTATAATATTATGTGTCTCGATTACTGCAGTATCTGAAAATGAAGAAGTCTCTTGGTTCCTTTTTGTACTATTTCATAACTGTAAGTTAACAACTGTTTCTGTAAAATAATTCATTTCAGAGACTAGATGTGAGTCTACGACCGCCTCCGTGGTCAAGGGGAAATACCATCAGTCCGGAGGACGGAATGTCGGGGGTTAGATCCCCTGATATGTATCTTAGATGTATGTTAGATGTATCTTGTTGTACTTCATTGTATTGTTGTAAGAAACCCCTTATCGCAACACAACTTCCCATGTGGTACTTACGTGCATCTCAGGGCCCCTTTCCGCAAAGCCATCCCAGCTCTAAGACGATCGTAAATCCCATCGTTCAACACTGAACCTGAGCTAAGATCGCTTTGTGGAACGCGGCCCTGAATCAACCTATTTCCAACCCAGTATAATAACTATTTACATAATGACCTACCGCTGGGTATCCCATTGCCCAATGTGTTGACGCAGTATTATGTACAACAGAGATAAAAATCAATACTTACCAAGTGTTAGGTAAGTATCACCAAGTCTCCGCTCCGAACGGTAATCCACTGTTTATCACACAACCTTCTTATCAGCCGTCGTCAACATGAACTCTTCCTGTATGGCAGAAGGAGACGGAAGACTAACTTCTACACTTGACGTGATTTTACGTTCTCCGTCACACGTCAACTGACGATGATCGAGTTTTCCAGATGTGAGCAGTCGTTAGGTTAACAGCATCCTCATCCACAATTGTCGATTCCGGTCCCTCAAGTGCTTCAGTGACAGGGAATACTTGGAAACAACACTTCAACTAAAGGATCCTGAAGCAAGACCTGTAAGGAAATGAAAGTAGTGATATATATTAGTTACCCATATAATTGTAACATCTAGGTTCCTGGATCGGCGTTTTAACGCTCAGCAGTCGAACATAGTATGTCCTTTAAAAGAGAGAAAGAGAGAGAGGGAGAGAGAGAGAGAGAGAGAGAGAGAGAGATTCATTCATTAGCTGATTTTAGTACCACATTCAGTTTTAAACCCGGCGTACATAATGTTTTTCCACCGTGTTATCACGGAACACGTGACACTGTATATGACACTTATTCGGGTTTCTATTTGTCAAAGGATGGTCTTCACTAAGTAATGCCTTCCCGCGGGTCTCACAACAGTCTCCTTGTACTCTCTGATATAATTATTCGGGACGACGGTAACCACAGCTAAATGTACGCCTGTGCATGCAGGCGTCTTCTGTCCACCACCATGAGGCCATAACGCCCTATTACACACCGGGGGGTTTACTGCCGAGTTATCAACAGACAGACGCATTCCTTCCTTACTGAAACTGGTCTCTCTTGTTTGTACAACCCAACATGCAGGGTCCTGTATAGAGACTGTGATACACGTATACACATTACGAATAATAATCATCATTATCATAATACAAATGTAGACTTAAACATGTATGGAGTTGAGAGCTGAGAGCTCGCAATAACGTCAATGCCACAAATACTCCTGCTGTGCCCGTCCTTTCGTATTCGTTTGGTGTTGTTGGACGAAACAAGAAGTTCAGGGCATTGACACCCTCACACGAAGGTAAGACAATAGATCCCACAATCGCTCACCCCTCAGACGCCTATATTTACCAATTATAATGGGAGTGCGTGGTTTGATTAACGTGAAGGTTATTCAGGATAGAATTTATTGTGGACTTTTGCACAGATTTATTTGTCTGATGAAAGCATGTCAAGATTCATGATGAAAACAAGGCATTCCACAGTTTTCTTAAACGAGCCAAGGATGTAGTATATAATCTCAATGTCAGTGTTGATTTTGTTGATGAATCTGCAGAGCTTGACGGTACAGAAATGGGTGTCAGCCAAGCGAAGTGATGCATCAAATCGTCACAGGTTCGGTTTCTCAAGGAAAGCGTCTCAGAACGAACGCTGCATCGAGTTTATGTGCAATGTGTTGAGAAGATCAGCAACCCCGCTGAGTCCTTTGTTTGGATGAAGTGAAACAGAAAGCTTTCTGTTTGCTGCTCAGGACCAGCCACTTCCCCCTTGAAACCGTCAATGTGTGATTTTGCATCAAAATGTAAATATGAAATGTTGATTATGCACTTAATTAAATGAGACTGTCCAACACGTTGCCAGAGGATGCCAAGCTTTGGCACAAATATAGTATCTAAATAACACGATGGAGTGGCTCGATCTTTTTATTTCTGTCTTCGTCATGCTAGGGGTTTATTTATTTTAATCTGTAAATACCATCGTACTATAGTAATACTATCTAATATAAGTTTTTGGGTCACATGTACACAAAGTGTGCGATCGGGGGTTATTTAACAGAATACACGCATTGTAACTGATAACAGCTTTCAAGGCAATGTTAAATATTTCGTGAAGGTAAATATAAGAGATTCTGCTGACACGCCCACGCGTGGTACACCACGTGTAGATACAGGACATTTACCGTCACGCAGATACCATACAAAATAGACACCGTCACAGATACCACAGATAATATACACCCTCACAGATACCATACAGAATATACACTGTCACAGATACTAAACAGAATATACACTGTCACAGATACTATACAGAATATACACCGTCACAGATACCATGCAGAATATACACTGTCACAGATACTATACAGAATATACACCGTCACAGATACCATACAGAATATACACTGTCACAGATACTATACAGAATATACACTGTCACAGATACTATACAGAATATACACTATCACAGATACTATACAAAGTATACACTGTCACAGATACTATACAGAATATACACTGTCACAGATACTATACAGAATATACACTGTCACAGATACTATACAGAATATACACTGTCACAGATACTATACAAAGTATACACTGTCACAGATACCATACAGAATATACACTGTCACAGATACTATACAGAATATACACTGTCACAGATACTATACAGAATATACACTGTCACAGATACTATACAAAGTATACACTGTCACAGATACTATACGGAATATACACTGTCACAGATACTATACAGAATATACACTGTCACAGATACTATACAGAATATCCACTGTCACAGATACTATACAGAATATACACTGTCATGCAGATACCATACAGGATAGACTCCGTCACAGATACCACAGATAATATACACCGTCACAGATACCATACAGAATATACACTGTCATGCAGATACCATACAGGATAGACTCCGTCACAGATACCACAGATAATATACACCGTCACAGATACCATACAGAATATACACCGTCATGCAGATACCACAGAGAATATACACTGTCACAGATAATATATGGAATATATTCAAGCACATTTACCGTAGAGAATATATTCCGTCACAGATAATATACAGAATATATACAATCACAGATATTGTACGGAATATGTATCGCCACAGATGCTGTACAAAATATATACAGTCAGAGATGCTATGCAGGTTAGATACCTTAACAGATACCGACTATAATTGTATAAAACACCTCGGCCACAACGACTGACCATTCCTGGAACTAATCACCACGTGGCCAAGATGACATCTCCACATAGTGGGCTTTAGATCTCCCTCTGGCATTACAGACGCGATATGTTTCTATGCTTCCTCTCGGTATAGCACAGGGAGTCAGTTTCACTCCAACGAAACAGCAAAACTCACCTACATACGTGTATCACTCGACCGAGCATCTCTCCAACACTGCAGACGATACCAAATGAGCAGACGATAATTTCAGTCCACTGAAGTAGCGGCTCAGCGATTGGCCAGTCGCCGTGTGTTGTGTCATGCTCACTACGCCTACGTTCCCTCTGCATTCAAACCTGTTTACAAAGCTCCGCGGGCGTTCAATACATGGCGGGTAAAGGGAACAATATTACACAGTGGTCCTTACACGCAATATGAGATGATTAGCTGAATTAAGACGCCGGACAATAGTGCTGCCCAGTGTTCCAATAAGCTACAGCGCACGGGGGTGATATAGGAAATATTGACGGCCCTTTGGCTTCGGCGGTCAATATTGTCTGACAAGAGTACGGTCGTGACCTAAACCGGGTTCAAATTCTTCACAATGACGTATAATTTTCACCTGTCTTTGTGTCGGTTTGTATCAGTAATAGATGTGTGTCTTCCCAATAAAGCAAATGGTCGTGACTGTCTACCCAAGATGAACTGTCTGTGTGCTGCGGGCGACGTTATTCGCCAATAATGAATAGGTTACGTTGTGAAAAGGCGGACACATCTTTCAATTAAAATTCTTTGTGGATCGAGAATGTTCCTCTTTTCAGTAGTGCAACATCTTGTGTCAGTCACACGCAACTGAATGTGCCGCCATTGATCTATCTCTCCCCACATGCACCATTTTGCCTATGTCTTGTTCCAAGCCAGTAGGTTGGGTTACCGGTGCGTGTCAATTCAGTCTTTTCATGTACAATGGATATTTATATAATATATATAATGTGTACTCTCCGACACAAAATGTAAAGGAACTGAATGGGACTTCTAAAGAAAATATTAAAATATACATGACCATTGTATGTAAGCGTTAAGTCTGTGTTTATTATGCGTGATACAGTAAATAACCAAAAAGTAAAACAGTACAATTCATTGAATTACGCTGTACGGAGTATATTGATGCTGGGTATATTTATACAGTGAGTACGGGGCAACGTTGGGGTCATATAATTTCTTCTCTTTCAAGAAAAAAGATATACTAATAGATTTATGTTCTTCGGATTCTCAAACGGTAATGACGCAAAATAAGACGCGCCTCGTGTTTTAAACAGCACAGAACAACCAGGCAAAAGTGTGCACTTGAAAACTGGATTTGACCAAAATCGATTTAACCTTATCAAAACGTCACAAGGCTGAATCAGTCGTCGAAACACTGCAAACCTAAGGTCCAAATCCTAACTATGATGCCCGTATCGAATACATCACCATCGAATAACTATTTCTTGTTTGTTTCATTTTTAGCCTCCATCAAATATAAGTGTATACTTTCTTTTGCCCGGCAGTTAATAAGGCGCTTTACGCGTCATGCTCTGATTGTAGATCCCGTCCATGCAGATCAGTGACAGAGCTTGGAGGAACACACAGTACTTATTGTCATGTGAAAACCATGTATTCTCTCAGGCAGCGTTACATACAGTCTTAACAAATGTACGTATCCTTAAGGTGTGTTATGTTTCATAACGTTTCTAGCACCTTCCTTTACTAACACTTCTTTTCTTACACTTTATTGTACTTGTCTTACTGCTGTCCAAATCTATATTATTCGTATTCTAAAATTCCCGAGAGGGGGAAATAAAAATGCTGATATGATAATGATGATGAAGAAAAAAATGATGATGATGATGATGATGATGGTGATGGTGATGATGATGATGATGATAGATGCATAAGTCAACGAGGATTCATATAGAAAACCGACACTGTATTTGATACAATTACAGACACCAATAGTGATGGCTGTTCATACGCCTGCCTCGAGAGAGATGGTATTGAACACGAACTATGAATCGATTATGTCCCGTAGCCTTGTCCTGTCCAGATACACGGGCGCTTGAAAAATGGCACATTATGGACAATAACCCTTTCCCGCCTCTCCAACAGTTAATAATTGTGCCTATACATTAAGTAGGGATGCAGTAATCACTTCCGCGTGCATTACACACACAATCAAGTTCGCAAACATTAAGGTACTTGTTGATATTTATATCCGTGTTTCGCTTTCGTTCCTGCCTTTGCCCCGGGAAGGGTGGCAGTATTGTTTGTTTGTTTGTTCCTGTTGTTTAACGCCG